TTTTTCTACTCATTTTATTTTATTATTTGAATCACTTGCGGTTCAAATTTAACTTATACCAAAAAATTCCTTAAAATGCAATAAATTAATTAAATATAGCAAATAGATCTCGAAATATACCAAATCCTAACATGGAGTACCACATGTTGTATGTGGAGAGTAGAAAAAGTTTCAAAGGTCAGAAGAGAAAAAACTTATTATTTCATGCAGTTATAGCTCAAATTCAATCTATATCAATTAAAATCTTATAATTGCACTTAATAAATTAAAATTATCAAACGGATCAAAAAAATTACCAAAATTACACATGAATCAATCTATGTTCTCTATTGCCTATACAAAAAGTTTTAAAGTCAAACCCCAATTCGACAGTCACTTTGACTCTAAATTTTACCGAATCCTTTTCAACGCTACAATTCTTCTTCTGAGATACTGCAGTTTGTAAATATCGTACATGATAGATTGTGCGAAATATTCTCAATTTTTTACCATAGTCTCCACGTATGATATCATAAGATCTTGACAAATCTCATCATTTTCAGACTTTGTTTGCTTTTTTTAGAATTTAAAACCATTCGGCCACACGTTCGTGGTCGTGTTTCCTGAACAAGATGTTCGAAATTTCTTTTTATTTCCGGGGTAAGGCCTCACACCAGACTCAATAACATGAATATCATTTTTCTGCTCATTTTATTCTATTATTTGAATTATTTGCAGCTCAAATTTGACTTATACCAAAAAAATTCCTTGAAATGTAATAAATTAATTAAATATACCAAATCTTAACATGGAGTACCATATGTGGTACGTAGAGAGTAAAAAAAGTTTCAAGATCAGAAGTGAAAAAAAAACTTATTTATTTGCCGAGTGCAAAAAAAAACACTCGGCAAACTTATTTCTTTGCCGAATCTTGGAAAAAAAAACACTCGGCAAACTTATTTCTTTGCCGAGTGTCACTAACGGACACTCGGCAAACTCCTAACGGCCGACACACTAATTGACGGATGTCCACGTGGCGGTTTTTTACCGAGCGTCTCTGTTTTGCCGAGTGTTTTTTTTCATCCCTCGATAAAGAGTTTGTTTGCTGAGTGCCATTATTTTGCCGAGTGTGCTTTTTGCAGCACTCGGCAAAGAGCTTGTTTGCCGAGTGTCCGATAGAATACACTCGGTAAATATTTTTGCGCTCGGTAAATCTACACTTGTGACAGTGGATCTGTATTTCTGAAGAGAGTGGCCTGCACTGAAGATTACATTAACTGACGAGATATTTTATGGTGCTGGGGAGGAACCGGTGGTTCCTTCTGTCAAAACTAACTGCCGCAGGTATTAATTAGGGAAATTAATTAATTGTAATTAAGGACAGTTTAGTACTTTCCTGATATCTAATTGCGTCGCGACTCCAGATATCGCTGCTCCATGCGCCGCTGCCTAGCTGCCTCCTGCTCGCCGCCCGCCTCCCAGGTCGCCCTCGCCGCCAATCGCGTCAGCGCCGCCCTCACTACCGCATCTCCCTAGGGTCGCCGACCGCCTCGCCCTAGGCTCGCCGCCGCTTAGAGTTCAAGACAGACGTCTCTTACTAACAGCTGGTGGTGGAGGCGAAGGAGCAGCGGCTGCGACTGGGCGTGGAAGAGTTCGCGGTGGTGGAGAGGGAGAGGGCCGGAGACGAGGTCGTTGCCACTGCTGGGGTGCGCGAGGGCGAAGCGGCGCGAGCGAGATGGCTGGAGGCGGGCCGGCGCTGTTGTAGGGCAATGCAGCGACGGCGCTGCTGCGGGGCCGTGCCACAGCGATCCTGCTGGCCGAACACCCGCCCCGACAGCGCGTAGAACCGGCGGCACGGCGCGCACTGCAGCCACACCACGTCGCTGCCGGTGTCCAGCACCAGCAGCGCGAGCGTCGGCGGCGTGCCCACGCCCACCCAAGCGAAGTACTTGCCGCTGCCCAGCGCAAGGCCGGACACCACGGCGTACTCCGTGCTGTCGCCGGCGGCCTGGGATGTTTCTGGCAGAGGTGCAGAGCGGCAGCAGAAAACCAATCCATGGCCACGGCTGCGTTACCTCCGACCACGGATGCGCGCAGACCGAAATGACACGGCAACGAGAAGGCCAAGGACGTGCGGTGACCAAACGGCGGCGGCAACTGAATGTCGAGACCACGGGCACGACGCGCTGATATAGCAGGCTAGCTGCAGGTGTATGCATCGTTGTTCTGTTGGCCGCTCATGCCAGTGACGGCGTTCTTGACAGCCTCGACGTCGGCTTGCCGCGCGACATGCTGTGCATGTCCTTACGCCGTTGCGCGTGGCCCAGGCCTCGCCTGCTGCGCGGCCTACATGGCGCACGGCGAGGCCGCGAGGAGGAACTCGTCCAAGCGGCCGAGGCACGCGTACTCCGGGAGCAGCACGCAGGTTCGCGTGAAGGAGAAGCTCGAACAGGAGAAAGGGGAAGGAAGTACAACTCTACCCTTTAAATTTATTTTGTAAATAATTTCTGACCTATACATTTTTTTATTTCGGACCCACGTATTTCTGGTTCCGGCCCACAACTTAAGTTCCTCCATGTTGATTCTTCTTATTTAATAGCCATCCGATCTATCCAAATGGATAGCTCTACTTTTTTCCTAGCGCCGTAAAATTTCACTTAACTGAATATTACGAAGGACATGCTCTATTTGCTTCAAAGCTAACCTGATAGTATAATCATAATAAATAATGTTTTTCTACAATGCACGATAGCTTTTTTTAAGTCCAGAATAATTACCTTTATCAGGTTTCATGAGTATGCTAAGCTATTTTTCAGGACATATTCTTAGTAGACTTGCCGCCAAAAAGGCATTTTCACCAGCTGCATTTATTGGGATATTGTTTATATGAATTTTGAGTGTTTACTATACCCAAACTATTTGAACATAAACCCCGTGTCCAAGCATGGTCCAAATAAACAGTACTACTATTTATTGGAAATCAAAATCTCACAACTAAAAAACCGCCAAAAGTTCAACTCCTCATCTGCTACCTTTCTACAAACCATTCCCCATATCTCCAATGCAACCATTGAATTGGATATTCATAAATCAACTCATCGTGTATTGTCTTTCTTCAAACCATTCCCTATGTCTCCAGTCCAAATAAGCCACAGATCAATATGTAAGGTGGATGGATGAAGCTACCTGGGAAACGATGGATGAAGCACAGGGATGAAGATGGAAGGAGAGGCGAAGACCTGAATTGTGTAGGGGACGAAGAGCCTGCACGCCGTCGTGTTTGTGCCGTGAGCGGAGCAGATTAGCGAGGTGTGTGGCAGCAGAAGCTGTTTTAATACATGTGAACGTTCGGATTGAATAAAGTACTAATACATGTGAACGAAAACCAAAAGACTGCATTATCTAACTGAAAAATTGGCTCACGATTGTTATTAGGGATTTTTCAGTGAAGTAGCAATAGCATGCTCAACTCCTATGGTCCATGGTTCAGATGCATCATAAACAAAAACGGAAGAGGACGGGGATCTCTCATCTCACCGATAGGCCGTACAAATGCAGTTGGTGATCTCTGATCTCACCAAGAGCACGGTTGGGGATAATCGCTACTGTTAGCGACAGGTCGTACACGAGCGCTGTGCCATTGATGATGAACTCCGAGCGGAACGGCGGCCAGATCGATGCAGTTCAGCCTAATATGAGATGGCGCGGAGGAGATCGTGGAGGAGGCTGATGTCGTCCGCGCGGATCGGATCAACGCTGAAGTTGTCGGATCGTGAACAGTAAGTGGGAGGAAAAAAACCTGGATGTCTGCAGTGCTGGGGGCGCACTTTTGGTAAACCTGGAAGCCTAATGGTGATGGAAGCTCCGCTGGTTGTCGTCGCCCGTGTGCTGCGTGATAGGAAACTCTTGATTGCCGAGTGGATCAATTCCTTTCATGTTCTCCTGGTTGGCGTTCAATCAAGTGGCCTCAGTTTCCATATGTTGCACGGGTGGCATATGATGAGGCGTGATCGCGTGGGTCCTGCGTGGAGTGGTATTTTTAGGGAGGAAATAGCACCGGGGGCGCATGCACGAAGCCGAACCGACATCGCGCGTGGGGCGAGTTCGCGTCGCCGGTTGGACGGAATCACTTGATATGTTTTAGTTGTAGAGTAGACGTAGAGATAGAGATTAATTGACTGGCCCCATCTTAGGACTATGAACATTTAGCTCATCCCGTCCATATGACCATATGCGTGTCTATTATTATTGCCTCGCTATGGACTACTCATACATTGTTCCAGACATGTTGTAAGAAATAGTTTAACACTTATATGCTACTTTTTAATATATTATTATGGTTGCTCTAGCAAAGAAATTTGCAACAAGACGCCTCATGGTACGACCTCAAGAAATATACACTCCGGATGCCCTTAAGTTGTTTATCTGTTTCAATAAGTTTCACCATTTAACATTTGTCATAATTCTGTCAACGAAACAAGATCCATGTTGAATATATTTATATAATTTTTTTGATATTTGGACCCCACATGTCATGCTCACAATTGTGATGAGATTTGGCATTGTAGCGATGCAAATGCCTTTTTGCTCTCTTGGTTTCGACACTACCCCTGTTTTGGCATGGCCACAATCCAAATATCACCAATTTTTGGCCCTTATATTTGTGGACTTGCCCATTGTCAAATTTTGGTTTGGCTCATGTTCATGTATGTCACGCACCAAACAGGCACCTACTACGAATCTTGGATTCTTGGATGTTTATGTTTGAAAAAATTGGGGGCGTGGTCATTCAAAGAAAAATAACTGGGAGATCATTTCATTCTTTTGCCACAGAAAATGGTCTATAATGGCGACGACACTACGATTTCACCTTGCTCTATATATTCTCTGTATTTTCATCAAACACATGTGCTTAGCTGCACGGAGTACATGCACGTTTGGAACAGTGGGTACTAACGGAACACGGGTCACGTTGCTACACAAAAAGGCGCTTCTTTCCAAGCCGTTGTGCGCACGGGAGATCACGGCTTGCGCGGCGGCGCGGCGAGGGTCGGCGTCGGCGCGCTAACGACTCGGGGCGGGGACGTGCCGTTCCCCGCGACCACGGCGCCGGAGCCCACCATTTCGGCGAAGAGGCGGTCGGCGATGACCTGGTTGGCGGCGTCGGAGGTGTGGTACGCGTCCCAGAACACGAAGTCATTGCGGTTGGGGCAGAGCTGCGCGGTCGGCAGGCAGAGGCCCCCCACCGACGTGTCCACGTCGCAGCACGACGTGTGCGACGTCTTGAACCCTGCACTCCGGAAGCATGGACGACGGCGGTTACTACTCACTGCTGCTGCTGCTGTGATCGAGCATCGCGAGCGTGCTGCTTATTACCGTGTTTCTGGGGGTGGTCGATGAGCTCCATGACGATGGAGTAGCAGTCGGAGAGGTACATGCGCGCGCCCGGCAGCTTGGCGTTCAGCCCCTCAATCAGGTTCTTGGCCGCGTCGTTGAACTGGATGGCGTACGCGTTCACGTCGTCCAGGCACTCGCCGTCGTCCGAGAGGACGCGCTGCGACGGGATGCAGCCGAGAGGCGCCAGCCCGCTGAACCAGATGTGGCGCGCGCCGAGATTGTACAGCCTCTGCACGCGCGCGGCAGCAAATTTCGCCAGTTTGTTCAGCAACGTCAATTATGCATCCGCACGATGGGATCTTTGGTACACGTGGCCAATCGTGGCCGTTGTTGGGCTTACCGTCAGCTGCCTGTCAATGGTGTCCATGAGGAGGCCGATGAACTCGTCGTGGGTGTACACGATGCCGTCCGCCATGAACGGCCGCAGGAAGTTGTTCACGTAGTCGTTGCTTCCTGCGAAGCAGAGAGCGCTCGCACCGTGTCAGTCAAGCTGATTGATGCTTTGCGGCTTGTTTGCATCGAACGAGCTGAAGAGATTTGAGTGTATGTTCTTACCGAGCCCGATCTGGAAGATTGCGCCATTTATAGTCTCCTCGGCGGCCTTCTTGCCGATCTTGGCGATCATCGCGTTCTTGATCTGCTCGAACGACGATATCTGGTTGTCGAACGATAGGTACTGAACCTGCAGGTTTGCGGGGTCGTGATACAGACATTTTCAGAGACAAATTAAATGACGCAATTACAACATCGTATCTTCAGCTTACAAAGTAAATGCCAGTCTCGTTGAGGAGCCCAGCGCCGCCGGACGCGAAGTTGACGCCGCCGAGGACCTCGTCGTCGGTCATGTACAGGGAGAGGAACGGCACCGGAGGCGGGGAGCCGAACTTGGCGGCTACATGTGTCAGTCGAAATTAGTTTGCCACCAGTCGTGTTGGCAAACAAAAAGATACCTGTACTCGTGACTGTTGGAGCTATATAGCTTACCCATGATGTCTCCGATGGTCCTGCCATTAGTGAACCTCCCGGTGGGGTAGCCGCTCTTGTAATCGATGCCGTACCAGGGGTAGTTGCACTTGGCGATGGAGAGCAGGAGGTAGTTGTTGTTTCCCACGTCCGACATGGAGTCCCCGAAAATGTAGATGACCGGCGGACTCTTGGACGTCGTCGTCGCAGCAGCCGGCGTCGAAGCTGCGCCGGCAACGGCCGTTGCAAGCGCGAGGACGACCACGGTGGCCAGAGCAGCCATTGCTGTCAAGTGTGAGCTGCGCTTGGCTAATTCGTGGTGAGTGGCCTGTGTTGTCTTTGTTGAATGCCTGAGTGGTGATGGCCTGGGCTGTGTTCGTTGCCCTGTTTTTATACTACGATGAAGTGGCAAGTCGTGGGCGTTCACTGCAAGTTTGGGCCTTTCCGGTAGCCAGAGAGAAACCTTTTGTGTTCACGTTTGGGTGTAGTGACTGAATCGCAGCAGCTAACCGTGTGAGAAAAGGCTTGCAAGTTTAAGCAGAGGGGGCACGTGAGGAATTGGCCTGTGTGAACAGAGCAAAACGGGAGGTAGCTGAGGTGGTTGTGGAATTACCGTGTGGCCGGCTGGCCACCCGTGATGGCTTGGCGGCAGCGTAGAAGAAAAACCGGTTAGGAATGTCATTACGGCAAAGTATAAATCGAATCGAGAAACTGTGTCCCCTTTGGCAAGGATTTGGAATGATGCGTGTTCGATTAAAATGAGCTAAAAGGAGTAAAAAGAAGTCATATCAAGTAATCTACCCTTGTGCAAATGCCCAAATAAAAGTATCTATCTTCTATCTGCTACTTATTTAAAGGAATATTAAAAGTATGGTAATGCTCTCCTCGAGGCATTCGTCGCTCCGGCGGAGCCCAATATGCATGTTCCCCTCTTTCTCCCGCTCTAATTTTGGTGCACCTCACAAATAGACAGGGGAGAACGAGGAACTGCACGACTAGATCTAGATGCGGCGCTAGCCCCTCTTCGCTCACCGCGTTGCTCTCTCTCCCTCTCCGGTTGCTACTCGCGCACGCGTACAGGGATTGCAGAGCCTAGAGTTCCCCAGTCGTCATTGCTCCCTTTGTTCTGGCCCTCTCGCGTTGCACTCATGGCTCCACCAACGCCGCCTCAGGATCGTAATCCCCCTGCGCATGCTCGCTGAGCAAATCTCGCCACCGCCCCCTTTTTCATGCTCGTCGCGGCCATAGGACAAGAACTGTAGTGAGCCATCCCTGGTGGCCCTCCACCTAGTCAGCCACGCTACCTCCATGTCCGCCTCAACCGCCTCCCTCCATCTCCTGCACGCATTCGCTGGGGTGGATATCTGCCGGCACATCGCCGTCGCTGGTGCCGCCTCCGGCATGCAGCTAGTATGCGCGGCTGGCCCTAAACCGAGCCTCCATTCGTGCAAGCAGCATGTAGATGTTACGCCTAGAAGCGAATGTTGCAAGCGTATGTATTGAATGTTTCAGATGTTTTAGAGATATGTTGCAAGTGTTTTGTATGGATGTTGCAAAAGTAGATCGAGATGTTGCATATGCTGCAATGGTTGTACACGTATGTTGCAAGCGTTTGTTCTCAATGTTTCATCTATGTTTTTAGACGTATGTTGCAAGTGTGTTTATCTGGATGTTGCATATGTTTTTCAATGGCTTTGCAAGTGTTTTCAGGTGTTTTTTTGCAAGTGTTTCAGACGCATGTTTCAAGTGTTTTATCTGTCTTCAGACGTACGTTGCAAATGTTTCATCTGGATGTTTCAAAAGTTGTTGCTGGGATCCACCAACCACAGCTGGCGTCTAGGAAGGGGAAGTAGAGGGGGCACGAGCGGTCTCTGTGTGGGTTCAGGAGGCATGGGCGATGTTCGGACGGGCACAGCCCCGCGCGTGGGCGCACGAAACGGAGTGCAGGCGTGGGCGTCTGGACACGCGTGTGTCCGAACGCTAGCACTGTCGTTAAAACTAAATACTAGTTTCCCCTAAAAAAAAGTAACCACTAGTCTCGTGGAGAGGGTTTAAAATTTCCACATGAATTGAAAAATTAAAGAATTTACATCATTAAATTTTATGATGATCTAACGGGTCATCTCTAACATGATTCATAAATAGTAAAGTTAGAATAATAAATGAAGAAAAAGTAGCAATTTGATTTCTGTATGTGTCGCTATATTGATCCCCGGTACCCTCGCTCTAAGAAAAATAGCTAAACTGAGAAGGGATACCCGACCGCGTAAATCGGATCGGGTGCCTCGAATACTTGGAAGACAAATCATTGATTGGATGTGCTTAGAAGCCATGTAACTTGAAAACTAGAATTCATCTAAATTTTCTTGTAACAGACTAGGAGACTCCTATAACCCTATCCTCCGAACTTATAAATAAGGAAGGAAAAGAGGGCCTCATCAACATCTTCGACAAATCCATCATAGAATCTCTCCACAAACACCGTCAGCGCCCCTGTAACCCGAGCGCACGGCACATAAAGAAGCATTGTCAACTGGAGATAAGGTACCTTGTACCTGAACCATACAGATCTATGTCCCCTCGACAAACAACAGTATGGGTTTGAAAAAAATCCAAATTCAAAAAAGAATCAAATTGATATCTTCTTAATTTATCATTCAAAATTACTATTTTTTAATTATATTAGGAATTAACTCTTTGGTTTAATCTAAGTCGTTAGATCATCTTTTTTTTGCGACGAAAGAAGAATTATATTAGATAATAGCTGGGTACATCAACACGTTACAAGCACTCTGGATTACACAAATATCCAGAAACTGATTTTCATCTAAATTATACCCACACTGTGAATAGCACCAGATCTCAAAACCAAACCTGTACGACACTTTACAGTATGGATGACCGCACAAGCAAACACTCGGCAAAAGGCCTGAGAACAGATGCCCAACGAACGACGGCCAACATTCATGTAGGCGGAGTTGAGATACTTCTTCTTTCTGCCACCGAAGAATGAGAAAGACGGATCTAAAACTTATTGTTCATAATCCTTCATCGTGGCCATATCTAATCACGTTAAAATGGACAAGAGACCAAAGAAAATTATTCCATAGCGGCAACACCATCTCCGCCTTGATGTCGTCGTCCGGAAATAAAAGTCTCAATGTCATACCAGTGAGGATGCTGACGCCGTAGTTGTCGCCCTCATCTTCAACAGAGTCGCCATGGAAAAAACGATTCTATCGTGCCCCCTCGTCGTCGCCGGAGAGGAGGAGATAAATCCCCAAAAATAAAGAATTTGGCATTATGAGACCCTAACCTTAAGGACTTGATCTACAGAAAAAACTTATTAAAAACGATGTGCCTTCACTCCCTCCAGCCTCCGGCAATATGCCGGAGGGAGATGGAGGGGGACCAGCGATGGTGAAGGCGGAGGGGCGGCAGCAGTGGCAGCGACGTCGGTTCCAAGTCGCGAGACGCGAGACCTGGCGAGGAGGCTTTCTAATTGTCTTTCTTGGTACCTTTCTTGTCAGGTTTTAAGTCGTTAGATCATCTCAAGATTGTACGGTGTAGGAATTTTGTCTTTACTAGTTGTGTTTCAACATGTATTCCTTATTTAGACACAAGAAAACTATATCCAAGGCATCGTAGAGGCAATGCTCTATAATGGAAGAAAATGTTATGCTAAATTTTGTCCACTAGTCGCACAATCCTTTCTACTAACCAGAGAACGTGCACTAGGCACGAGCTGCCAGCAACTCAGAACCTTATACACTAAATGTTAATGAATGACTGAATGAAAGCCGTTCAGTTTTCATCAATTTCGTCTGTAGGCAAGGATACAAACTGCAGGTTCAACCGTTCAAGTCGGTACCAAATAGATCATTTAGTTGATTTTATTTACTAGGACAGCTCGTCTTGCTCTGGAGACCTTAGCATTACACTAGTGACAGATTCTGGTAGTATAAGGAAGGGAATCGAAGCTGGGTTTGATTTGTACATCGAACAAATTATAAATCCTAATCTATTGTAGTTGTGTCGTCATGGATGACTCTGTATCGGACTTCATCTCCGTTTATCAATCAACCTGCAACTGCGACTATGAATTCATTTGGTTCTTGTGATTTAGTTCAGATCTCGTCCTTCTGTTTTGAATTCATTTGGTTCTTGTGATTTAGTTCAGATCTCGTCCTTCTGTTTTCTTGTTCTTCACACATGCACACTGCTTATAGCTCTGTTCGTTTAGGCTGGTTTGACTTATAAGCCATAGTTGAAAGTACTGTTGGTTGGTTTGGTGTGAGAGAAAAATAATATTCATTGGCTGATAAGCCATGGCCTATAAGCCAAATACGACCAAGCGAACAGACTGATAGCTAACGCCTAAGGACCAACCAGCAGATCACATCTCAACAGAGAGCTGAGGTACACAGCACCTCCCTTCAGAGTGCCTGCAGACCAGCCATGAGAAGAGTGAGTTGGGAGAACGGGAGCGGGAAGATGATTAGAGCAACTCCAATTGATTCCTCAAATTTTGGTCTCATATCTCCTCAAATGGAAATCCCTCATCTATGTCTCAGTTCTTACTTCTCGGTGCACTCCAACTAATCTCTTAATTTTTCTACTTTACACTGTATTGTCATGAGCCCAGTTCATCGGTCCTATTTGTCAGCTTTATGGGGGAGACAAATGAGGAGGGGGCATCTGGGACTCCTATATGTGGGGGTTCGAGAGAGAGAAATGAGAGCCCTTCATCCATCAAGGGCTACATAGGAGTTCGGTTGGAGAGTAAATTTTGTGTTTTGGTGCCTCAAAATAGGATAGGGCTTCAGTTAGGAGTCTGACTAGAGTTGCTCTTTGTTAGAAACCTTGACTATCAATCTCTATTACAAGGGTAACTTGATACAATATCTGAAGAATGAGAGAGATTAGAATGCGAAGAGCAGGAATCAGGGTAGAAGAGCAAGAACAGCAGGAAACGGAAGCCTCGACGGAGGTAGAAGACGAGCTCAGGTTCGTGATGTTCTGTTGCCCCCTCTGAAGCAGCAATGTCGACATATGGGACTCATATCGCCAGACCAAAAACTAAAACCTTGCATTCACACATGATTTTTTTTCTCTTTTGCAAAATTGACTAAAGTTTGTTGTAAATATTTTAATGCAATAAGAATTAACAACGTGCCAATTAGCTCCTCTAGTTGAAGATGTGGGTCCCACAACAAATTAATCTACTGGCTACAACATTTAGTACACTCAACCAATCCCAAACCAATAGACATATGTACCTAT